GAACAAAGCATATTGAAGTTCATCACCACTTAGTTCGTGAAAAAGTGTTGAATCAAGAAATTGAGCTGCAAGGAATTCCTACTTACAATCAAGTAGCAGATATATTTACAAAGGCTTTAGCAAAAGCAAAATTTGAAAACTTTAGAGCTGCACTTGTAGTTGTAGATCGTAAGCATGCACTAAGGGGGAGTGTTACAAATTAGTGCATCTTACTTAGTTAAATTTCTGTTGCTATTTCTTTGGCATAGACTAAGTCAGTATGAGCTGTCAAATAAAAGAACAATTAGTCTGCGGTGATAGATTTTTATGCTAAGTAGTTGATTGTTTTTAGGAAAAGTTGTTATTTTAAATCTATAAATTTCAGCAGTCGAATGTATTTTTGATTGTGCTTCAATAAAAGGTATTTAGTTTATTCTCCAAATATCAGTATTTCCCTTAATCAATTTCTGCTCTTTTTGTGTTAACATGTTGGTTCAACCCAAATACAAATTTGAATTTCACTAAAGCTGTATTTGGTTTGAAAGAAAAGGTACATATACAAACCTCGTGTAGATTTCTCTAACTTTTCTTTCAAATCAAAACACGACCTAAAGAAATTAGAAAGAGAAAAGAGAAAGTTGTCTATCAATGAAAATATTTCAAGTATTTGATCAAAATGGGTACACATAATCCAACCTAACCCAACCCTTGTTAACTCAGAGTGTTGTTTAAATCATTTTTAGCCCGCCACTAAATGTGTATGTGATTTGTACTTAGTCTACTTACTTTCATTGGAAAACGCATTCTCTGCACCCATGGGTGCACTGGACGATTGTTAACCATGAATTAACGGAAGTTTTCTCCATTATTAATAATTTGACTGGTTGAACTGGCTATTGTTGACTCTCCTCCATCGAATCAAACATTCATGGCAACTCAGTAAACACCAGCGTCGTGAACGGGTAATCCACCTGTAGCGGGAAAAATCCACCATCCCTTCGCTTTCATCGGATGACAAGAACTTCGGTGAGAAGAAAGAAGGGGAAGAAGAAAAGAGAGAGAGAGATGGAATGCACATGTTGAAGTAGAGCTATTTGCAGAGTTATTTGCAGCGTTGCACATGTTGAAGTACAGCTCTCTGGTGCCAGGAAAGCCAAAAGCAAGTCAGCCATTACAGATGAAGAAACCCTACACCCGGAAACTCCTCGACAGAGATCCCCCAACCCCGACAAGTCTCCGTTTCTTCCCAAGATTACTACCCAGTCCCGCCACTAACCCCTACCATTGCCTCGGCAGCGATAGCTAGAAAACCCCTGCAACCCATGTCGACCTTCGATTCCTCCATGGCTCTGACGCTGGTGATGCTCTTGACGGCTCTGTTCTTCATGGGTTTCTTTTCCGTCTACATCCGCCGCTTTGCGGAGGAGAACGCCTTGGAACTTTGTCGAGAAGAAGAATAGAGAGGAGATGAAGAGGAAAGGAGAAGAAGAGAAGAAGAATATGTCGTCGCCAGACCTCTGTCACCATCGATGACTCGTCGGAGTTCTGTCGCCACTGATGGAGGAAGGGTTTGGTGTATGGGCAGGGTTCGATGGAAAGAAATCAAAGAAAGGAATCGAAGAAATGGGGCCTTTTGTTTGTGTTCCAAACCAGTTCTCGTGGACACAAACCAGTTCGTGGCCATGTGAACCGCTTGATTGAATCGGCCAGGCCACGTTAACGCTCGTGGGTGCACTCGTCGAGTACACCCACGGGTGCGTAGAACTCGATCTCCTTTCATTGGTTCACAATTCATAATATGTGTGATGGTGCGCGATCTAGATGCTCCTAGTTAGAGGGCAGCTCGGACGTCGTTCACCTAATTGGTCGGTTGAACTGCAAGAAACAAGGTTCAAAGGACCCGGGGTGGTCGCTCCGATAATTAAGTTTTAGTTGATGTATGCAAGCTGAAAGCTTTTGAGAGTAATAGCTAGAATGCACTAAATCGCACATACCTTGTGCTATGGGGGTAGGGGCCCTTATATAGGTGAGTTGTCGTGTGTCTCACGAAATGCCTCCGAGATCCTCGGCCCACACTGTTAGGAGTTCGTTCCACACCAGGAGGTGGATATCGTGTTAGCCGATAAGGCTTATCGTGTTCATCCGATCCAGGTGGGATGAGAATAAGACCTTCTAGGCTTTTCCTGTCTGGCAATAGAAAGATTTATTTGGGAAAAGCTCCAGCCCATAAAAGACGCCAGAAGCCCGAATTTTGGCTTTTTTAGGAAGCTTCAAATGAAGCTTTTACGGTCTTTTAACACCCCGTCTTCTTCAAACATGTGGTACAATGCACACGCTTGGAAGAAAATGGGTTATCTTTCCACAAAAACTATTTGAATGTGTAAGTGGGACCTACCAATGGTATGTGGGGCCCATCTTGCAAAATGAATGTGGGGCCCACATAGGTATTATGTGGAACCCACCTTGTAAAATGTATGTGGGCCCCACAAGCATGTCCACACATGGATCCACATGCATATCCCCCAATGGCATATGGGACCCACCTTGTAAAATGTATGTGGGCCCCACATGCATGTCACAGATGGACCCACATGCCTATCCACCAATGGCATATGGGGCCCACCTTGTAAAATGTATGTGGGCCCCACATACATGTCCACACATGGATCCACATGCATGTCCACCAATGGGATGTGGGGTCCACCTTGAAAAATGCATGTGGGCCCCACATACATGTCCACCAATGGGATGTGGGGCACCTTGAAAAATGTATGTGGGCCCCACATAAATGTCCACACATGGACCCCACATGCATGTCCCCTAAATGGGATGTGGGACCCACCTTGTAAACTATATGTGGGCCCCACATACATGTCCACACATGGACCCCATATGCATGACCACCAATGGTATGTCGGGCTTACCTTGTAAAATGTAGGTGGGCCCCACATACATGTCGACACATTGATCCCACATGCATGTCCACCAATGGTATGTCAGTACCACCCTGTAAAATGTAAATGGGCCCCACATACATGTCCACACATGGACCCACATGCATTTCCACCAAGGGATGTGGGGCCCACCTTGTAAAATGTATGTGGGCCCCACATACATGTCCACCAAGGGATGTAGGGCTCACCTTGGAAAATGAATGTGGGGCCCACATTAGGTATTATGTGGGGCCCACCTTGTAAAATGTATGTGGGCCCCACATAACATGTCCACACATGCATGCATGTCCACCAATGGCATGTGAGGCCCACCTTGAAAAATGCATGTGGGCCCCACATACATGTCCACCAATGGGATGTGGGGCCCACCATGTAAAATGTATGTGGGCCCCACATTAGGTATTATGTGGGACCCACCTTGTAAAATGTATGTGGGCCCCACATGCATGTCCACACATGGACCCCACATGCATATCCACCATTGGGATGTGGGGCCCACCTTATAAACTATATGTGGACCCCACATGCATGTCCACCAATGAGATGTGGGGCGCACCTTGTAAACTGCATGTGGGCCCCACATACATGTCCACCAATGGATGTGGGGCCCACCTTGAAAAATGTATGTGGGCCCCACATAAATGTCCACACATGGACCCCACGTGCATGTCCACCAATGGGATGTGGGGCCCACCTTGTAAACTGTATGTGGGCCTCACATACATGTCAACGTATGGACCCCATATGCATGACCACCAATGGTATGTCGGGCTTACCTTGTAAAATATAGGTGGGCCCCTACATGTCGACACATTGATCCCACATGCATCTCCACCAATGGTATGTCAATACCACCCTGTAAAATGTACGTGGGCCCCACATACGTGTCCACACATTGACCCACATGCATGTTCACCAATGGGATGTGGGGCCCACTTTGTAAACTATATGTGGGCCCCACATACATGTCCACACATGGACCCCACATGCTTGTCCACTAACGGTATCAGGCCCACCTTGTAAAATGTACATCAGCCCCACAAAAATATTCATCAATAGTATGTCGGTCCCACCTTAAAAAATATACGAGTCTCGCGTGTTAAATAAAAGGTTTATTAGCCCATACATAAGATATTCACATTACCAAACGGTTTTCTAACTTTTATAGTATTTTGTGAAATCTATATAAAATATTTTAACTAAACAGTCTTTGATCTATTTACAAAAATTCACCCAATCTTTTAACCATCATATCGTCGTCTGAAAAAGACTTGGCAAACAGGCACAATGTCAAATATGTTTCTCTAACATGTCACTTTATCATTGTTCCAATGGCATTAGAATTACATTACACAATTTCCAATGACAGCTTAATGATGATACCTAGGAATTCAAATGGCAAATGTTTATTGTGTTTTTAAAGAGTCATTGGTTCAAATTTTATTTTCAATATGTTTTGTTTACGATAAACAATATGAAAGTGATTTTTAAGTCATTTTGTTGATAAAATATAATATTTTGATTTTTTATTTAAAATATTAATACTACGCAACCTCCATAAGAATCCAAATTGGATTGGAATTCAAATATAAACCAATCAAATTTACATCTACCTCTGTATCAATCGGACTCGTTTTACCTACCGACATTTGATGATGTGCATGATTCTTTTCTCTTTCTTTCTTTCTTTTTTTTTATTAATTTTTCTTATGATTTTGTTTTTTAGGTAATAATTTTTTCATATGATAATAAACATAGAAATCATCCATTTCTTTGTATTCTCTATTATATTTCAATATCACATGTGAACACCAGACCAATATCATCCCAGCTCCCTGTTCACAAATTGTAATATGCTATACACATTCACTATTTCGTTAATTAATTAATATCTGCCACGACTGTGGCCTCATGCGACCGAAATACCAGCTGTGGGGCTGTGAGCCACTCCGAATAAATTCATTCGACAAATCACATCATCAGCTTGTAGTTGTACACATCCTTTACTTTAAATCTTTGTCTTCAGCAACATATACATCTTCTATTAATAACAAGAGGAATTGAGTCTTCTCCTTCTCTCTCTCTCTCTTGGTTGATTCCTTTGTTATTCCGGCAATGGCAGCACCTCCCCATTTCACGGGCAGCTTGGGTTATCCTCCTTCATCTCCTAGTCCAAGATCCCATCTCCATTGCTTATCACCATGTAATAGAGCCATAAAGGTTAGTATGTCCCAAAATCAATCTTACTGGACTTGTGTAACTCAGAAAATAGAGGACCAACTCAAGCAGCTCATCCCTGTACGTCCACCCCTCTTGGTTTATGAGCCTATGCACCATCTTGTCTTCACCGCCCGAAGAACCATGGCACCTGCCCTATGTGTGGCAACCTGTGAGCTCGTCGGAGGGCAGCAGCCAATAAGCCCAAACCAAGCACTGGTGGTTGCCTCTGCTCTACACCTCGTGCAAGCTGCACTATTTACCCATGAACAGCTGCCGCTGACGGATCGCCCTATTCCGTCAAACCCAGAAACGTTAACCCATCATCACGCCTTCGCCGCTGGTGTGGAGCTTCTAACTGGGGATGGCATCTTAAGTTTTGTGTATGAGTTATTGGGTAGATCAGACGACCCCGCCGGTGGCAATTCCGAACGGCTTTTAAGGGTCATCATCGAGATTGCACGCGCTATGGGATCAGAAGGAATGGTCGATGGTCAGTACCGGAAAATGCTGTGCAGCGTGTTGGGTTCGGAGGAACTGTGTGACGTGGGATGGGTTGATCATGTGTGCGAGAAGAAGGAAGGACGGCTGTATGCTTGTGGGGCTGCTTGCGGAGCCATTTTAGGAGGAGGTAGTGAAGAGGAGATAGAGAAACTTAGGAATTATGGCCTCTATGTGGGGAAGATACATGGATTAATGCTGTATTATCATAACAATAGGACTGGAGGGGAGGAGAAGGGCTTCACAGATTTGGTGGAGAGGTGTACAAGTTTAGCACTCAAGGAACTTGAAGGATTCAACCAAGGCATGGTTCAGACCCTTTCTAGCCTTGTTCGAGCAAGCTTTTGGGATAAATGTTAGTTAAGATATCTCAACATTTTACTCTCTCTCTTGTGTGTGTGTGGTGTGTTTGTCTGTTTGATGCAGAAAGCCTACCTTAGTGACTTAGTCTGTCTGCAGTGATGCTGATACCACATCAGGTAACTGTACCAATAACTGATATACGTTTTCTGTGATAGCTGTTTATGCAAGTTGCAAATATATATGTGGAAAGGAAGGAGGCCGGATTCAGTCCTCACAACACTTTTAACTGTACATTTGGAACATTCACGATTAGAGGCTGCAAGTGTTGTGACTTGTGAGGATTAAATCAGAATTAATTAGAAAGGAGGACCAGACATGCTCTTCTCAAAGCGCTCCTTATACCAACCTAACTTGTGAGGTTGGTGTGAATAGCAGATCCGGAATCTCTAAGGGCAGTTAAGAAGTTTTCTTTTTCCTTTGTAATCCCCCCCCCCCCCCCCTTTTTTTTATTTTTTGAAGCTAGGTAATCAGGTCGATCAACATGGAGCTGACGACCGAATTCATTAAGAAATTTTCTCGGTGTTACACTCAGAATATATAGTTTCAAATAAAAAAATAAGGAATGGTGGACCAAGTAAAACAATGAGAAATTAATAGTTTGATTGGCCAGCTTGTGAGCTGCATGATTTTCCGAACGTTGAGCCCAAAGCACCGAGCAGTGAGGGAATCTAGAAAGGATGAATCTGCAATCTTCTATAATGTGTCTGATCTTCCAAGGAGGTGAGAGGTCATAGTTCAACATACTCTTAATTACGATAAGAGAGTCACCCTCAAGAATAAATGAAGAAAGGCCTAACTCCTGATCGAGCAAACATAAGAGCTAAAAGGGCAGCTTGAGCCTCAAAATCTCCAGAGGATCGCCAATCCTCAACTTTACTGATCTACCAAAACAAAACTTTCCACAAGAGTCTCTGGGGAGGAACCCAGCTCCTTCAGCTTGTGAATTAGTAGCCCCATCGAAGTAACTTAAGAGAATTGAGAGAAAGTTTCCCCCATCTAACTAAGCTCTCTTGAGTAATGTTGGACATATATAGACTTATTGTTGAAGATATAAACTATATTTATGATTGTGCTGCAAACACTACTACTCACAGGTTGAATTAATGCTTTGTCTTCCATCACTAACTTACACCTCACCTTCCATATCTTCCCCATATAAATTGTCCATTTCAAACCAGTTGAGCAATGAATCCTGAACTGTCCAATGGGGACTCAAATCCACTCCAAATGAAAATTGGGAAGCAAACCATATATGTTCTAGCGATTATTGGACAAGAGAAGAATAAATGGTCGGTGGACTCCTCCGCCATTTCACAAAGATGGCATAATGGGTTTTAGAAATAGAGCTTGCAATAGGTAAAGCCCCATCTAGGCATCGCCAAAGAAACATGTGTACACGGGGGGTGGGGGCAGATGTTTGATTTTTAAGAATGATATATGTCTCAAGTTACATTACCAAAAAGCAACAGAGGAAGATGAAGATTGAGAATGCTTCCAGACAAGAATATCTTTCAACTCATGACTAAACAAAAGGAGTGGAATAGAGATAATCAAAGCCATAATATTTTCACCAAAGGAATCTGATGATATTCTGGAATGCATCCACTCATCATGTGATTCTAGATGTATAAAGTTAGAACTACCCCGAGAATTGGAAGTGAATATGTGGAGTTGTGGGTAACAAATCACGAGGTTGTTACCCATTGTTGTAGGAAATGGGTACGTTGTAGTCTATGGACCATCCATTTCCTACTATCCAGTTGTAGTCTTATCGAAGAAATTCAAGACATTTGAGCATACTAGAGACCAGGTGTGAGTCAAGATACGTTGTACACCTCGGTGCTGTTCAAAAACTGTAATTAGTAGTCAAATACCTTGAGGCCTAAGACCTTGTTCCATAAGTAATCCTGTTCTATTAAGAACCGCCAACATAGTTTCATTTCATTAGTAAAGGTCCAATCCACTGTAAAGGTTTTTGGAACACAAAAGGGGTGCACTGGACGAGTGCACCAACCAACCAGATTCGGCCACGTCGATGGATCTGGGAAGAGGTAAGTTAACAGGATTTTGGCCGTCTACTAAAGATGTTCAATTCAACCGGACACAAAAAGACAATTGTTTCCTCTCTCTCTCTTCCTCCTCCTTCTCCTCTTCTTCTTCTTCTTCTTAGTGAGTGACAGTGGTGGTAAGGTACTTGGTAGCCACATGACAAAAGCCTAAAACACGTGGGAGTGTTTTGGCCGTCAACTAAAGGTATTTGTCTTTTTGTGTCCGGTTCAACCGAACACTTTTAGTTGACGGCCAAAATCCCTCCCGTTAAGGCGTTAACTTACCTCTTCCCCGCTCTACTCTATCGACGTGGCCGATTCTAGTTGGTTGGTGCACTCGTCCAGTGCAGTGCACAGAATGCAGACTCCATATATGGGGTAGAATTTATTGTAGTGTGGGCCGACCCAGCATGAGACAAGAACCAACTCTTCCAGTGGAGAGATGATCCTCTGTCGACTCCTCCTATGAACAGTCTTACTAAAGAATATGGAGGATTTAGCTGAACTTACTTCTTGACCTGTCCAAGAGCAGAATTGATTTAAAATTTCCTTGAGACAGTGAATTTCTCTTTTGGAACCATGTCTACAAATCAAAATATCATCCGCGTACATGATATAGTTCAAAACAATGCCATCCGAACAAGAAGGCCTCTGAGAGGGCATTTTGTAACATCTATTCTGAATCCAAAACCGAAAACAAACCAGACACATCTGGTGTGGTCACAATTGATCTTCGCCTTGATTAATTTAACTTTTGTAACATCTATTCTTTGAAAGGTTTGCTTTGAGAGGGCATTTTGTAACATCTATTCTTTCTGATAATCTTAATGCTGTTCGGGGTTGCATGGATCCGATTTGTTCATATATATATTCCTAAATCCTTGAATTTATTAGCCCACCGCCTTGCATCTACTTATTGTGAGGTTGGTTCTGACTGTATGTGGGATGTTAGCCCACCCGATGTACTTCTTAATCTTCTGAATCCATAATTCACTTTTTTTAATTTCTTAAAAAGAAAAGGAACTGGAAAAACAAGAAAAGACTCGTACTTTTTATCTTATTCACCAGGTTATAGTCAATGAGGTTTTCAACAAATTGGGGGTGATTTGGATCTGGTTGTGGGCCCATGGGTAATATACATTAATGTCTCATGGGTCCCCCCGATTTTTTTTACATTGTGCCCAGTTATGATATCCCATTTCCCCTTTTAAGAGAACATCTCTCCAACTTTCTCCAACCCAAAAACCGGACTAGGTAGTTCACCACCAAGAAAATTCTTGCCTTTAATTTGTATATTTTGCCTTGATCGGCTTGACCACCAAATTACACCGTTGAGGACAAACTCTCCATGTTTGTGTGGCTAGAATAGCTTTAATGAAATCTCAGGGGTCGCTATTTCTAATGCCTCATCAAGATTGTTTTTACAAACTCTCTCTTCCTTCCCTTTAGTTATTTTATTTTTTGATATCACCACCTCCCCACCAGAACTCGCTTGAATTTTCACAATTTCATCACAAATTGAGCTGAACGGTTAAAAACATGATATAGCGAAAAAGTGGGAATTGTTGTCACCACAGCTTTGAGTATCACGAGCAAGCTCGGATCTCCTGCAAATAATAACTCTGCTCACATGGCTTTCAACCGTATATTGGGAATATCTCTCATACATACATGTATGTTAAATTTATGGAGAAATGTTTTCAATATGTAGTTGGATGCACATTCTTACTGTATGAGATCCTCTCATGAGTGTAAGTGTGTAACCTCCCTTTCCTGCCAAGATAAATAGAGGATATGTTCACCTTGAAAATTGAGGGGTCATTTAGCAAATCTTTTTTAAAAGATCTTCTAAAAGTTTTGATAGTCAAAAGATGATGTGAGCTTTTGCATCAATATCTTAACAATATGAAGATTGTTTGTTTAAGGCATATCTGTCAGTGTATCTTTCCGCGAGTTGAAAAAAAAAAGGTGAAAAGCTCCATTTGGAGCTTACCCAAAAATAGCCCGTAATGGGCTTCTTGCATCTTTTCGGGGCTATGACTTTTGATGGATAGATCTTTTCCCAACCAATTGGGAAAAGACCAAAACGTGGGCTACCGGACTTCTAAAAAGCTGACAGCCCGCATAAAAAGACACATCAAATGGGGCATGAATTTTTGGATTTACCTTACCAAACTCAGTCAGAAGTCCAAGGTAGATGGAGAATTTGCTCACCTATGAGTTGAAGTTCGTGTCTTATGCTTGAACGGAAGAAATTTTGAGATTTGGAAATAATCACTTGCTAACTGAAGCTTGTTCATACTCATTGAGAACATCCATGATACTATGATAACTCTTTGATATTTCCTTGGGAGACAATAGGACAATTGTGAGCTATTTTAATTCAGAAATGCTTTTACTTCGAACCAATTCATTTAATCTTGCAAAACAAAACTTCAAGAGTAGATCAAGAAAAGGAAAGGAGACAAAGGATTCCCACATCTAAGTCCATCATACTTCTTGATTGAACAATCATCTATTAGAATTTTGTAAAGCACAATCTTCAAACATTACATGATCCATCTTATCCATTTCTGACCAAAGTTCATTTATGACATACATAACTTTCTCTAAAAAGGCAATTTTATATTATCATAAACTTTATTCATATCCAATTTTATAACCATTACTCATTTCTTCATCTTAGACCATGTTTGGGAGTGCTTAAGTTAAAAATAAGTGCTTAAAAGCAAGTGTTTTTTCAAATAAGCACTCATTTGCATTTGGCACCCAATTTTTTCAAATGCTTATTTTAAAAAATAAGCACTCATTTCATATTGGGCGTTTGGTAGTCTTTTTCTCCAATAAGCACTTAAACAAGCATTTGTGATTATTTAGTCCTTCATTTTCTTTCAAATTTTCAAAATATACCCTTATTAAAGCACTTTTATAAAAACACTTTTGTGAAAGCACTTTTATGAACACACTTTTATAAAAGTGTTTTTATGAAAGTACTTTTATAAAATTCAACTAGGGATAATTTTATAAGTGGTATTTTAAAATTCAACTAGGAATAAATCTGGAAGGAAAAAAAATTGAATAAGTGCTTATACAATAAGCACTTAATAAAGATAGAAATTTGGGCTTAAAAGTAAACACTTATTTCGGGCTTATTTCCCATAGACCAATAAATGCTTAATGGCCCAAATAAGCACTTATTTTTAAGCACTCCCAAACATGACCTTAGTATGTTTTATAAAATGTATTATCTCATGAGCAACCAAAACGTTGCCAGTTATGAATCTGTTAGGCAAGAAAGCACTTTGGTTATTGCTGATGACCCCATTTACAGCCAACTTGAGTCTATTTGTAAGCACTTTGGCTATGATTATATACATTGTGTTGCAAAAGCTAATGAGTCCAAATGGACTAGTTTGTCTAGGGTTTTTGGTCTTGGGGAATGAGTGCTATGAAAGTTTCATTTTGGCTCATGCCCATCTTACCTAACTGAAAAGAAAAAAGAAAAAAGATTCCACACCTTTGACTACTAAGGGTTGTCATTGTTGTTTCCAGCTGAAACCCTGCCACATCAGCGCCACCTAGGTGTTTTGAATTGCAATGGGAACTTTTTATTTGGTTGAGACTGTTTTAACTCAAAACAGTAAAAGAAAAAACGTTTTATCTGAAAATAGCAATGAGGGGGCATTGGAGGAAATGTAAATTAAGGTTTTCCCCAACAGCCATTTCATCTCACAATGTTTTTGCTGATATGGCACTTACCTATCATCTGATGTAGCATGGTGATGAATTGATATGGTGCAACACATATCATACAACACTTCAACGTGATTGGTGTTACATTGGAGAAAAATAAAATCTGATGAAATCCTGGATTTGGAAAATTTTTATTTATTAGATTGGCATAACAGTAACTGGAAGTGTAATTGGTGTTACATAGAATTAAAAAGTTTACTTTAAACACTTCAACGTGAAACAGGACATACCAAACACATATCTACTATAAACGCCTAATCAGCATTGCTGTAGAGACTATAAACATTAAGTATTAATCAAACAAACCATCGAAACTTGCACCACCCACATTACTCAAAACGTTTCAGATACCAAATACAATCTAACTCAACAATTTCCTTCCAAAGAAGAAATTGGGAAGCCCATTAGACCTCGGCTAATAAATTAATTTTCTATGCATTTCTAACAACATCGATCTACATCTAATTGATCTTTCAGTAGAACAGGATTACTAAACTTTGCTAGACCTCTTTTTCGAACTATTACCCCTGATGGTAGAACAGGATCATTTCTAGTCCGATTCATCTTAGAGCACAAGTTTTTGGGCTTGGGCCTGGGTTTTGTGTTTAGGCCCTAGCCTGGGCCCAACCCACAAGGTAGGATGGCAAAATTAATCAGTGGTGATAACAACTCCCACTAATCAGTAGAAATTTCGATCCCCACTTTATATGAGAGAGAATAAAAAATAGGAGGAAGGTGATACAAATTTGGCACCAGTTTTTAAATGCAAAATTTGCACCAGTGATATTGAGACAAAAGGTGCAAATTTTGTAGCAAGTATAAGCGTATAAGTATAATCATATACTCGTAAGTGGGTTGAAGCGAAAAAAAATATGCGTATAAGTATAATCATACAAGTACAAATTATAATCACAAACAAATAAATGTATACAAATCTGAGTCGACAAAATCTGTATCAGGTTGAGATAACGCAAACAGACGAGTACTTCAAACAGACAAGGTTTTGGGAGGAAAAGTACATATACAAGTTGCTATTTTGAATTGGGTGCTGAAAAATGATCATGAATTATATACCCTATGAGCCAATTTTGAATTCGCCATGTGGACATTTTCTATTCCAATGGAAGGATACCAGCCTAACATATGGGCCTACCCATGCATGTACCAAAATGACGAAGTCAATTTTGGCTTCGGGCTTCATAAAAAAAAATGACGAGGACTGGCCCAATATTGCTTGAACTGTATATCTACTCCAATGAGACCGACTGGCCTGTAAACTGTATCTACTTGTCCAAATTCAGATTCAAAATCCTTATCAGAATTTGATCCATTTATAGGTGGATCAATTATGGACCCACACTAATATGATATGCAATTCATTCTTTAGTAATACTAGTAAACATATACGTGCATTTGTATGTGGAAGTATTTCCAAGACAAAATTATTTATAATTCATGGACAATTTTTGAATGGTTAGAGGTGGGCAGTTTCTAAAGTGAGAGTAAAAGACATATATGCTCTATGTCCATTATCTTAGACAAAGGGATAGAAAATGTCCAATGAAAATTCCAAAAAAAAAGAGGCATTCACTCTTTTATAGGTAGTATAGATGTGTGAGTGACTACCAACTAATGGTGGCTCAGTTGATAGGTTCTCTGACTCGTCGGAGTAGAGACCTGTGATCAAATCCCACTGGCACTAAGGGTTGGGGGGGTCAAGGGAAAAGGGATGGGCTACCCCCTGTTGTGTAGCTCCATGAAGCAAAAAAAAAAAAAAAAAACTAACCAGTCTGACTTGAGCACCAGACTCCGAGACATGCTTGCATAGAGTGGTGTCAAAACCAACTGGTTAAAGGCAAGGTTTCCAAACCGTTGTTGACCCGGATGGTCGGACCATTCAGCCCAGGAACCGTCCAGACAACCAGTTTTGTTTTATCCCAAACCCAGGGGGGCTATAGTAGACTAGGAGGGGGATTGCAGTCCAAAAATCCCTTTTTTAAAACGTTGGCTAAAGGTGGATTGGCAGGGTGCGGAGTTTACACTGTGCTGCCAATTAGTTTGCTTAGTTTGGAGATTTAAAGAGCTTCCACAAGGCTGTGTTTGGTTTGAAGAAAAAAAAAAGGAATAGGCCCTACCTTTTCCTACTTTTTCCTTCAAACCAAACATAGGATAAATGATTCATTAGTTTTCCACGTGGCAAATTCATTTGGGCTTCAGAAAAGTGATCTTAATCGAACAAAACTCCAATTCGTTCTTGATTGGAGCAGACCTAATTGGAACGTAGGACTTAATAATACAATCCTAGATCACACGTGATTCATGGGGTTTGGCAAAAGTTTTAGTGCCGGAATTGGAGTTCTCTAATTGAATTGGAATTGACCTGATTAAAAAATAATCCATTTTTAAACCAACTATTTATTCACTTCTAAAATTTAAGGCCCGTTTCATTCTCCAGAATAAGGGTCTGGAATCGGAACCAGAATGGCCTTGCCTATTCCGATTTCAATTATTTGGTTGGATGGAATCGAAATCTCACGGCCATTCCCTACCCTTCACCTGGGAATGAGATTCTATATCTTTCATTAATATGCTTAGCTATAGCTCAGTTTGGAAAGAGTACATATTTGTACAATACAACAAGATTTTGCACTCTACATATTTGTACTCCTTCCAAACTGAGCCTATGTGAAGTCAGAGCCAACACCAAGGCAGARGCAAGCTGGGAATGAGATTCTATATCTTTCATTAATATGCTTAGCTATRGCTCAGTTTGGAAAGAGTACATATTTGTACAATACAACAAGATTTTGCACTCTACATATTTGTACTCCTTCCAAACTGAGCCTATGTGAAGTCAGAGCCAACACCAAGGCAGARGCAAGCTGGGAATGAGATTCTATATCTTTCATTAATATGCTTAGCTATRGCTCAGTTTGGAAAGAGTACATATTTGTACAATACAACAAGATTTTGCACTCTACATATTTGTACTCCTTCCAAACTGAGCCTATGTGAAGTCAGAGCCAACACCAAGGCAGATGCAAGCTGCAGAATTACTGAAAGCAGAAAACAAGTTTACATGAAACCAGTTTACCGGAAGATGATTACAATTAAATGATGGTGTTGATGGCATTTTGATGCTAATCTATTCTAAGAACCCAGTTCTAGTGAGTACAGCATTCCTCACTTTGCTGAGATCTCTCCCCTTGAGCGTCCTCCCAGCACCTTCACATACAGAAAAAGAAGAAATCTGACTCCTTGCCAACTTCCTTGCAATCCATTCGTGTGGTGGTATCATATCATCATCATCATCATCATCCTCATCATCATGAGCAGCATCATCGCTTTCCCCGTCATCGTTAAGAAAGGCACCTTTGTGGCTACCACGAAGAGAACTTGAACCATCCCTGAAGCTACCTGACGCCCCCTTCGAGCTCTTTCTGTAGATCTTTGACCAGTCAGGAATGTTTACAGGTGCTGATTGCTGATGAACCTTGGCCTCGTAAGTGGGATTATTAGCTGCTCTTGGGATCATTCTTGAAGCAGTTGGAAAGCGCCTCGGTGCCGGACTAGAAACCGAGGATGGATGCTTTGATTTTATGACCCTGAGACCGATGTCTGTTCTTTCTTTCATAACAGCCCAAACATCTTCCTCGTCAAATTCTTCATTTCTGATCGATCTCCTACCACTACAGTCCATGTTGAAAATGTCATACCCATCTTCCATTAATGGTTCTCCTAAAGACCCTTCAGCGTCTTTAGGAGCTTCCCAAGTGGGTTTTCAGTTTGGCGCAAGATCTACAACAACGACAGGTAAGCAGATGTAAAGAATTTGGTTACTCTCTGGGGAATATCAACCATCAAGTCAAGGGGAAGAAAGATGGAATTCTGAAATATATACCTTTCTTTTTGTTTGAAAATTGAAACTCCCCTCCAAAGATCGCAGTTTTTCCAAGGTTTCTGAGAAGATATATATATATATATATTGCAGGCAGAGGCTGGAACCCTTGAACCAGATAGAAGGAAAGTAGAGTGAAGCTGCAGTTTTAGAAGGATTTTTCAGAATGATATGTTGCAGGCCGCAAACCCAGAGAGAGGAAACGAAAGAGGAGTTGTGGAATCCCAAGATATGCCTTTCCCTGGCTTGAAAAGCTCCAAAAAGAAATCACACCTTTTGCTTGGGTATTCTGCAAAATGAAAAGAAAATAATACATATATTGTTTGTTTGGGATGGAATTTGTACCAGAAACTATGAAAAGGGGAGCAGTAGGGCAGCAAGAAAATAAAATTTCCTTTTTTTTAATGGGGGTGTTGGACCTTTTTAAATACAAGCTTCTTTCCTCCCAAAAGCCTTGCTTATCTTTGGAAGAGGTGGAGAGGAAGGACTGGGCGACAGATAGGTAATTAAACAGCGAGGAGCGCGCTTCAGAGATCTTCGAGATCTTCTTTTTCTTTGGTGTTTATGCCTTCACGACTGTAGATTATGGAAGTTGCAGAGAGAGAGAGAGAGAGAGAGAGAGAGGGGATCTTTTCAAATCATGATTGTGAGTGAGACTGAGAGAGAGTAAGATTTCGGGATCCAATACACGAGAGACCAAACGTGTGGTGTCTGGGCGTCGTGTCTGGCAGCGCCAACAAAATAAAAAACAAACCCGCCATGTGGTGAGCATGTGAAAAATATTTGGACAAATTATGAAAGCAAAGAACAAAATGGGTGTCTCTTATTGACTTTGATGCGCCGCTCTTTACCCTTCTGTCTCCAGACTCCGCTGGGCTCCTAAAAGTTAAAAACTAGAACAATAATCACATTTCTCTTATCAGCTTTCCTGTCAAAAAGAGTGGAAAAGAGAGCTTTGGCTGTAAAAGGTCCTAAAATACTACTCAAGTTTTACAGATTGAAACGTCTTTGCCTCTATAAAATAAAGTGAGCAATGTTACAAACAAGCTGGTTCCTGGTTAGACTAATCTTTCACTATAAAATTACAAATATGAAAAAGAAGGTTTTGGTTGTTTTTTTCCGAAAATAAAACCCATCGTCCTATCCACCGCTGATTGCAGCAAAGACCAAAGAGTTCATGGTTGTTTATGGACATTGGACGATAGGTTAAAAGAGAGGGCCCAGAAAAAACGTAAAAACATTAAAGCAAATGGCCGGGCCCACTACAATTTTAAATTTTAATTATAATCTATGTACAGAAAAGTTTCTTTGGAACCTAACGATTCCAGCTACCAAGCTTTCTTTTCTGTTTTTTTTCATAGTTCAGAAAAAAAAAAAATTAGTGAAAGAGCAATGCTAAACATAGAAGCCTCGTCAAACCCATCATCTTTGAGTTTTAACCAAGTTGTAGGACAAAACCAAGCAATAAACCGATCAAATTCTAAATCATAGTCTCTTTAGATTGGCTTAATTTGGGAAGAGTGCAAATATAAATATGTACAGTATTATAAAATATAAATAAAGACTTAAAAATTAAAAAAAAAATCTATGGTGCGAAAAAGACATAACATCACAAGGGCTTTAACCAATCAAAATTCTCCCATGAATATAATAAAAAAAAAGGGAAAATCTATGATGTGAGAAAGATACCAGAAAAGTTTTGACTATAGTCAAACCCTTAAAAATTTCATATACAACCCCCCCCCCCAAAAAAAAAAATAATTAGTGGGAGTCTCGTGGACTGGACTGCCATTTTTACTTTTCCGAAAGATCAAAAAATATATGTAAACTAGCGGTGACCCGTGCAATGCACAGGAAAATCTAAATGGTTGAATAATTTTATTTATTATTAATTAATTAATAAATTAATAATCAAAATTTTCTGTTAATTAACTAAAATTAATCAAAGTTATTGTTAATATTTAAAATTTTAATATTTGTATTTTTATTTTATGTTGATTTACAGAAAATAATTATTGTTAATTTAATATGAACAAATATTTTTTAATAAATTTAATTTTACTAATCATTTGTAGTAATAATTTGTTAATTTCATTATTTTAAATGGAATTTTGATTGACTTTAAATAAATAAAAATAATTACAAAATTTAACATTTTTATTAATTTCACTAATAATTAACAATTATATAGGAATAGCAACGGGGCGGGGCACCCCATCCCTATCCCCTCCCGTAGTCAAGATATTTTATCCCATCCCAGCCCCGTCCCTAGTGTTAGGTGGGTTCAAGGCAAGGCACCCACTCACCATTAGGAATAGGGAATCCTCGAATTTCCCCGCCTCATCATCAATGTCGTGTGAGTTCAGGGCAAGGCACACACTCTTCATCAAAGGATTGGGAATACTCAAATTTTCCCTGCTCTATCCCTAGTGTCGAGCGGGCTCAAGGCAAGGTACCTACTCCCCGTCCGAGGTTTTTAAAATCGAACAAGATAGGGAACCATTCTGGGGTCTAGTTCTTGGGTTGAACGGTCCAACTTCCTGATCAAAACAGATGACCCACTCTAACAAAAAATAAAAAAAAAAACAAAAAAAACAAAAAAAAATGCCAAAAACCATTGTTCGATTTAACAGTTCAACCGCCTAGGTCAGTGGTTTACTAACCAAATTAATGGTTTTTAACTAAAATAGATTTATACATATTTACTAAAAAGGGTAAATTGAGTATCGACCACATGGTAAATTTCTAAAAGTACACTAAATTGTCTTTAATTTTCAAAAGTGTAATTTTGTGAAAAGTTTAGAAAATTTATTACACTTTGGTAATTTTGAAAAATTATTCAAATTTATTTTAAATATCATTAAATAATTTATTTTCTTTTTAAATGGTTTATTTACAGAACTATACTAATTTATCTTATATTTTCTAATATAAACTAATCAATAATTTCCTTTTTCAATATTATACTAATTTATCTTAATAATTTGTGTAATTATTGGTTCAAATTACTATTTTCCATTTCCCATAGTCATTTATCTTTAATAATTTACAATGAAAATTACATAATTTTTCAATAGTTTTCCAAAATCTATCAAATGTAATAAATTTTCCTAAAATTTCCAAAATATTCCAATATTTTTCAATAATTAATTAATACATTTTAAATAAACTTTCAAAAATTTTATATCTTTTAATTTTCAAAATGTTATTTTACGAAAATGTAGTTTTATGAAAATTTTGTTACATTTGTGTAATTGTGAAGATTTATTGAGAATTATTTTAAATTGTTATTAAATATTTATCTTTGTTAGGTAGTTTACTAACAAAATTATACTAATTTATCTTTTATTTTCTAATATAAATTAATTATTAATTCCATTTTCCAACATTATAATATTTTATTCCCCCATCTACATTCGGTTATTAACTATAATAATAGCACTAACTAAAATTTTATAATTTTTAAATATAATTCTTAATTTTATAGAAATTAGTTAAAGAGTTTTCAATTTCTATAAAATGCTGTTAGTTAATATGAATATAACAGTATTTACCCAAAATACATTAAAAATTCATGATGAGTTAATTAATAACAATATTTATTAATTTTTGGTAATTTACTAACCGTATTAATAAGAATATTTAATTTTTGGTATTTTACTAATTGTATTTATTAACTTTTGGTAATAACACTATTTAATACTCATTGAATATGGGTTGGATTAAATATTAACAGTACTTAACTATTTATTAATTAATATGAACGTTTTAAATGAGAGAGAGTGGATATAGATTAGAGGAAAGATTTTAGGAATTGATTGAGGAATGGGGTAACATGATATATTTCTAATGGCTTAAAGGAGATACCTTAGGAGAGAGATTCTAAGAATATTTTTAGGTAGTTGGGTTGGGAATGGTGACATGGCTTAATGGGAGTGGTGGGAAGGAGAGAGGAGAGAGAGTGAAGGAGAATGCAGGGTGGGGGTAATGAAGAAAGGAGAGGCATGCATCTTGCTACATATATAGATAGATAGCAGGGATCCATGCAATGCACACGCTTTGTTAAGAGAAAACAAAATTATAGAAATGCATAAAAGTACATAATTGACCAATCTGACCCATTACTTTTAATAATTTTTTTACAATACAAAAAAAAAACAATAATTAATTTCAAGTAGGGTTATTCATAAAACTGAAGAAACTGACCAATCTGACCCAATTCAACCTAAGCTGGTCGGTTTCTAATACTTCCGATCGGCTTTGGTTCAACAATTTCCCAACCCAACCAGGTTGGATTAATTTCGGTTTGGCCATTTGTAAATCGACCAAAACCGAACTAACATGACCATAGATGTATATTAATATTTTATATTTTAAATATACTTTTTAATAGAGGAAAGTGGGAAAACTCACATGTTCCTTAGTCTGAAATATTTTATATCATAAATTTAATTTTTTTAATTTATTTTTTAAAAATGCCACTATAATTGTTTAAATTTAAATTTTAAGTTTAAGTTCAATTTTTAAATTTAAATCTTTTGAACAACCAACCAAACTAAAAATTGACCCAAACCATTACAACCCAAGTTGGCTAGTTTTCACAAATGATTAGTTAGTTTTGGGTGACCAACTCCCCAACCTGACTATGTTGATTTGGTGCCTGTTTGGCAAGTCTTTTCCAGAAGATCTATTGCAAGATCTGATGGTTAAAAGACTTGGTGAGCTTTTACAAATAGATCTTGGAAGACCAAAGACTGTTTGATTGAAATATTTTTAATAGATCTTTGGAAAGACCATAAAAGCTCGAAGACCGTTTGGTAATGTGATGAAAATATGTGCTATGTATATATGAATGTTCCATATGTGGGCCAATAAACCATAACATTTAACACATGTGGGACCCACATATAGGCCTAAATATACATTTCATAGTTGTGGGTCCCACATGCAATCACCATAAATGTGCGCCGCATGTATTTTTCCAATGTGGGCCCCACATACATTTCAACATATATATAATACGTAATGTGGACCCCACAAACATTTCAACATACGCATAATACATAGTGTGTGCCCCACATGAAATTCCAACTATATATCCCTCATTATTGAGTTCAAAACTATTTTTCAATGTGGGCCCCACATGTAATACGTAATGTGGGCTCCACATGTATATACCATTAGTGGGCTCCACAAGTCTTCAAATCTTCGATCGTAGCAAGTTACCTTTGGTGGTATACCTTTAAAAAGGAGAGAAAGATTAGCCATGGGAAGAAAAAAAAGAAGAACGACACTCAAAGAAGAAGAAGAAGAAGAAGAAGAAGAGAGAAGTACGTAGGTCGACAATGGCAGAGCTCAGGATTAGGGCTCAAAGCCTCAAAACATTTGAGTTTTATCGAAAGATCACTATTTTCTCACAAGCGTGTGTAGAGAAACACACATTCGAAGAAGCTAGAAGATTGCAAAAGATTCAATCGAAGCTTCCCGAAAATGCCCAATTTCGGGCTTTTCACGTCTTCAATGGGCTGCATCTTTTTCGGAATAGATCTACCATTTACAAACGAGAAAAGCCCGAAATTCGGGCTTCCGGGCTTCTAAACAGCCCGAAGCCCGCGCGGAAAGACTTGCCAAATGCGGCCTTGGTCGGCCAATTAGCTTGTAAACCAAATCAAACCAACCAGTAAACACTCCAAAATTCAGCTAAATTAATAGTCTAATCGCTAATAAATAACAACAGTTTAATC